TGAACCCGGAACCTTCAGTCTTGTGCGCAAACGCCTAACCTCTGGACCTCTGGGCCGGCATCCAACGGTGTTAATGTCTAACTGTAATCGATCTAGGGATTTTGCGCGACCTCACCTATTTGTCTTTGGTAGTTATTGCCTATACAGTGCTTCCAGGTTTCTCAATGGTGGTCTAACAATGATTGATTGATGATTTCAAATGTGTAAAAACACTAATCTCCATAACTCTAATTGAAAATATCATATTTATTTTTCTTTATGTCTATGAAATAAGTGTGTGAATTCTCCTTAACTATGATTCATACTTAAATATAATGCATATATAAAAACTTCAAAGTTAAATTATCGGTCATAGTTATTGTACTATTGAACATGACTGGAATTTTACGTTCTATGTGTTCAATATCAATTCACTAGTGTATTGACAACCGTTATTTTTATCAATATGCAAATTTACTCAACATTTTATTTAATGAACAGTTGGTATGTTAATAATAAAAAAGACATATTTATATAAAGCTTTAACTTGCTTTTAAAGCGTACAATCGAAATAACATATGGGTAATGCCCGGACATATAGATACTACTACTGATACGTGAATATTCCTTGTTATGATAGTTAAATTTTATGTTTCAAAACTTCATATAATACAACGGAACATTTTGATAAACATTATGTGAAAGTAATTATCCAAATATAGCATTGATACACGAATACTACTTATATAAATGATATTCAGTCTATGTGTCCGTGTGTATGTGTGTGTGTGGTCCATGAAATAATCAAACAATCATCAGACGAAAATTCCCTGATGATGATACTGTATGTAGTGTTTATAGAAACAAGTAACTGTTCACTAGTTTTCTCATATTTACAAGATGTTTTAATTACTTTTACAGATTTCTTTCTTTAGACAATTAGAGTTTAAGCGAATTCAGTAAATGCTAATTAAAATATAGATAGGAGCTATTTTCTATTGTTTTTCATATATTCAGAAATGATACTTCACTGAGACTTTGTATTTAGTTTAGTTTAATTGTAACTGATGTCAAGCTAAGTAACTTTTATATAAAATTTATGTGATTTTACAGGTTGCATAATTAAGGTTTGACTTGATAATTTCAAATAAATTGAACACGAAGTAAAATGCCAGTAAAAAACCAATAATAATAAATGTGTGTTATATCTTAATGAGTAAAAACGACAACATCTGAGTTTATACGATTTGTAAGTTGAGTTGTTTTGTTAAGGGGAAATAAATAACCAGATTAAATTAACATAACTTCAAATTGTACTGTGGTGTACGCTACTTATGTTGACATAAGTAGTATATGATATCAAACGGAAATCAAACGTCTGACAGCAAAAGATCCAGAAGGAAAGAATGAGAACAGAAGGCAATTTGTAGGTAACGTAAAGTGAACTGAAATCTGAACAGTCTAAATGGAAGAACACTGAAATCTAAAACAAATAAGGATTAGCTTGCAAATGATGATTTCACGGGAAGGTTTTGTACATATGCTAAACAACTCTGTAATATTCGCTTCAAAATAGATGTTGACGTCCTCACCTGTATTTTCGTGCACAACAGTACTATTTAAAGTTTCTGCAAATTTAATGTTCATTTATTTAGTTTCCAAAGCTATGGTTTACACTGAGTCATGAAATGTTGAGAATTTGATATCCTTACAAATCAGGACACTAAAAATATAATTATTTATTGTCCACCACTCTGATAACTTATTTATTGAATTCATGAATCGATCAGTGTTAGACCACCATTAGAAACCTGGAAGCACTGAAAGACGGCTGTTTCGTCCTGCTATGGGACTCATCAGCGGTGCGCACCCACAACTCCCGCAGCTCGCAGGATTCGAACCCAGGACCTCCGGTCTTGCGCGTGAACGCCTAACCTTGATCGAATCATCATCTCAATAGGTAACTCAACTCAACTCCACAACCTCATAATGAAATATATTTATATTTTATTGTGTATTTTTAATCCTAATCATTATAAAAATGAAATGTTTCTCCATAAACACATAAGTTGGAATACATATCAGTAGTCTCCATAAAATACTAGGTAATAAAGAATGTACTTGTTGGTCTTGTTCTAGTCATTAAGACTGATGTGAAAGTTGCAACTTTCAATTTATAACACTGATTAATAAAACCAAAAAGTTTATGAACAGACTTAAATGTTTTCTTGAATGTAATAAAATAATCATACAATTATGACTGCTCACTCTGATATTCTTTCTACATGCAAATATCATGATTAAGACATGTCAAGACATGAATTATTTAAAGATTGTTAGATTTAAAGCAATGTAATGAAGTGTAAAACAGAAACGTAGTTAACTCAAATTACAAATATATTGTAAAAACAATTTTTATTCAAATAATCCAAAAATGTAAAACAACAAGTCCTCTTTTCTAAATTTTGATAGAACAATGAGAAGACGTAAATGATCTGAAAAATCTTGTGATATATTTGCGCTATACATTTCGAACAATCTGGTCACACATACACTTTTCAAGGCATTTTATATGACGATTAATAAAAGGTCAATTAAATAAAAGTTCAAATTCTAAATGAAGGAGAGAATTAATCAACGTAATATAGAAAGAATAAGAAAGGGTATGAAACAGTCACATTACCACCCTAGGCCATACAATGGCTTACAGATTACCAGGGTAAATTCAAGATTATAACAAATTGTTTCTGTACAAATAAAGGGGGTTTCAACTTACTGATAGCCAAGGCTTCCATAAACTTCAAAATTTGTCCTTCTATACAATGTTTTGTAGGCCATCTTGATGTCAATCTTATGCCCTGTCACAATTATATGTTTTGCGATCAATGAACATGGTTTTCTGTTTCCCACTTATCTGAAGTTAACTGATTCTGAAGCCACTTATATACATGTTCCATAACCCTTGCTTGCATTTTTCGGATCAATTACGTCTTCTCACTGATCCATCGAAATAATTCAAAAATGTCTAACTTTCAGAGGAATTATGTGCCACTGATGGCTATTGTCATCTTGAAAGTATGCTTGTAAACTATTTATTTTCATGAAATATTGATGGTAATTCTTAACTCAAAATAAATATTAAGTACTCAAATAATCTTAAAATTTTCCAAATATTATCACACGTATGCATCTCAAATCACGCCTAAAATAATTTTGATCAAAAAATCAATTATTTTAAATCTGTAAGATAACTATGAAGCTAAAATCAAATCCATAAGGCGTGTTGCAAATCTGACAAAGTTTCTACAAGTTATTTTCAGAAAAATAGCCTGATTTTAAAAATATTCTCTTTTACTGGTGAAATGAATCTCTATTTTCAAATAATCACAGTTATTTATAATTTATTGCTTTAAAGGGTTTAATTTATATATAACTGATTTCGTCAAACGATGACTGCATGCATTGACTATACTTTTTCACTAAAACGCTTCTAACAAAATCTGTGAAGAGTAATTAACTCTATATTGTTTTTTGTCAAAAGATTTAATCTACCAGCAAAAACGTTTGTCACATAGTCTAGTTGTTTGAAAATTACTTAGTAGGTTATAATCTGTGCACGACAGATATATTTTGATGCGTACTTGTTGTTTTTCTGGTTTAAATATATTTTTTGCAACTAAATACTAGTACATGATTATACTGAAACTAAGTATCGCTTCAAACTATCAAAAATTTCATTTAACTCTGCAGTTCCTCGAGGCCTAGTGATGAAGTAGATATTCATGCACTCGCTTTGAGTTATGCATATTTTGTAATTACTTACTTACTTGCTTACGCTTCTTACACCCAACAGAGCATAGGCTGCCGATTAGTATTCTCCAACCTACCGCGTCCTATGCTTCTCTTTATAGTTCAGTCCGATTTTTGTTCATTCTTCTCTTGTCTGTCTCCGTTTCTCGACGTAATATGTTCCTTGGCTTTCCTTTTTTCCTCTGGCGTTCGGGGTTCAAATTGACGGCTTGTCTTATGACGCAGTTGGGTGCTTTCCGCAATGTGTATCTTATCCAACTCCAACGCTTCTCCCTGATTCCCTCCTCCACTGGAATTTGGTTTGTTCCCTCCCTCAGTAGGTTGTTGCTGATAGTGTCTGTCCAACGGATAGAAAGTATTTTACATAGACAACTGTTAATAAATACCTTTATCTTCTGGATGATAGCTTTGGTAATTTTCCAACTTTCCGACCCAGCATTTTTTAATGCTTAGTAATGATATTCAGCTATTGAAAGTGATATTAATAAAATAAAGTGGAAATACACAGCCTTAGGGTAGAAAGCTAAATAATTCGTTTACTAAATGCTTAAAGGGAACTAAAGTCTATAAGAAATCTAGTAGCTTATTTTGTGGCTGGATAAAAAAAGAAATAGATACAATGAAATGTGTTCAGTTTTTTCAGCGGTTGAATAATTATCCGAAACTTTTTATAGTTTGTATTCATCTAGCATTTATTCATTACTGGTTTGCACATCTTCCAGTAACTATTATATGGATACATAATGAACGAATCGACCACAAGAAAGTTTAAATATGGCATTGACAATTGATTTTCTTTAAAATGAGTCAAGCGTTTTAAGAATTAATCCGATTTTCTTGTTTTGATTCCCTCATAACTGTACCGGACATTTTTGAAAATGTTGAGTTTGTGATAGAATCGCATTTTTATTTCTAGTTTTACTAGTAAAACAACAACTAATAACGGATTATCATAATACAAAATTGATCAATCATTTTCGAAATCACTATATATATCGCATAAACTGAATATAACTGTGTGTAAATTGAATTTCATATTTCAATCCAAAAGCCCTACTGTTTTCTTTTGGACTGTAATAATGGTTTTCTCACGGAGTTCTTTTTTAATATACCGACATATACATCTGTTAGCGATAATTGATGTAAAATTCCTGTCGAATTTCTTCTGTAATCGCCTATTATTTATTGATTTATTTTAATGAAACAATTAGCATTGTGGATGGAAATGAAATTGACCACATCGAGCCATTGTCATTTCAGAGTAATTTCAATATGAAAAAACTGTAAGTCTGTTTAGTCTTGTTTTCCCATTTTCAATGTGATTTTTATTTGATTTTTCTTATGTATACACAGTTTTATCTGATAGATAAGAAGTTTACGGTATGCGTTATATTATGAGTTGTTCCAACGTCAGTATAAAATACCTTTAGCGATATTCATTATTTGTGGTGTGAACTCTACAATAGTAATGAGATCATAGATTTGATAATCAGTCGAAATAAAATTACAAAACATCAATATGTATATCTATAAAGTGCTCACATAGTTGGCGTCAAAACGCAAAACCCTGGTTGACTAGATCAGAAATTATCTAATGAATATTTCCAATAAAAACTCTAGCTACATTACTCAAAATGAAATGTTATTTTATAGATGATCTCTGTTGGTTGCCAATGATTCTTGCAGTATTGTCTAATTAGAACCAATGTAAAAGATTCTTCAATCTAGTTGTTTGCACAAGAATAAAAAGACAGAATTGCGATGAAGATCACTTTGATCTAAAAATTAAACTTTATTGTCTACAATTAACAAATGAAAGAATGAGTTGAGTGAGAAATACATTATTGAGTTTAGTAAAATGAATATGTTTGCAGTTGATTTTGCACTTTTTTTCTACCTGCCGATGAATCTTGTATGAAGTAGATAATAACTCTTCACATAACTTTGTAAATGTTCGTTTTGGCTTCTGTATACCGGGGATTTGAAAAAAAATTATTTTTAGTGGCAAACGTTGAGTGATCATATTCAAGTTTATTTAGATATTATCATTCTAGGTATAGGCTTTGAGACTGATGACTGAGTTAGACTCTTTGAAACTATTGCCTACAATGTTTCTTATCACTGCTTAGAGATGATAAGGTACATTCATTCCGATTGATATGAATTCAAAATACTGTACAACAATATTCTTTGTAAAATTTATTTATACGACAGACAGACAGATACAACGCAGAACTTCATACGTAATTAAGTAAGTTCAGGTTGCCATACCGCATTGGCAAACAGACGTCAACGTCAGTTCGAATCCAATAGTGGTAGATAGATAGTAGAAGTATTAGCAGTAATGAAGAAGATTAGGGTTCAAAGATATGATTCGAGAAGTATAATCCAGTGAGATAACTTTAGAATGCGAAAGATAGAGATGACGACGAATTCAGAAGTTTAGAATTTGAGAGAACGCAAAGAATGAATGCACCTGCGCCATTCCAGATGATTGTGAGCCATATCGTTCAAGATCTCTAGTCATCGGTTAGTATCGTCTCGCAGACCCCAACCAGGTAGCCTACATCTATCAACATGACTCAGTCCACTTCTCAATGACTTCATGGATTTCTGCCATGTTTTGATTTGAACGACCCTAGCTTTCTTCATTAAAATGTTGTGCCAGTTAACTAATTACTAGTAGTAATATAAAAGGAATTATCCAAAGTACTTCTAGTCATGATGTACTAGTGTCATAAGAATAATTCGTAATATATCGAAAAAGACGATGAGCTCTTTCATTCAAATATATTTATTACATATATCTGTTAATTTGTTTTTGTAAAATGTTTACATCAAATATTACTTATTTCGACCCTACTCATTGTGATTTACTTTTTGTACAAACTAAAACAAATACAGGATTCTTAGTAACAATTCACTAACCTATTTGGAAGAAAATACATTCAAAGGTTTGAAAAGCCTTGAAATAATGTAAGTCAAATATATATTTTTTATATATTACTATCCTGTTCTCATCATTTTACTACTCAAATCAATGAAATGTCTAACTGCTGCGTTTTTCTTTTTTCTTTTCCAACAGGTTACTTCAACATAATCAAATTAAATGTTTGAATAATAGAACATTTAATCAAACTCCAGCATTGAAAATATTGTAAGTCATTCAATGTTACTGATAGATGATAGATAATTCCATATAAAATCCATTTTCAGCTTTTCTGCTTTATTATTTTCTGCTTCATTGAATTACTTTACTTACTTACACCTGTTACCCTCGATGGAGCATAGGCCAAACACCAGTTTTCTCCAACCAACTCTGTCCTGGGCTTCCCTCTCCAGTTCTGTCCAATTTTCGTTCATTCTTCTCATATCTTTCTCTATTTCTCGGCGTAATATGTTCCTTGACCTTCCACTTTTCCTTTTGCCTTGAGGGTTTGAAGTGGTGGCTTGTCTTGTGAAGCAGTTAGGTGCTTTTCGTAGTATGTGTCCTATACACTTCCACATTCACTGAATGGAAATCTTTAAATTTCATTGAAACTGGGCTTCAATGGAAAGAATCGTCATGTCATAACTTTTTGATCGTAATTACACATTTAACACGGAAATTGAATGACAGAACTTCAATTCACTTCATTAAATAGCTTGACTGACTTTTGAAGACATACATTTATTACTTTATCGTAAAAAATTTAAACAAAATTAAGTGAACAACCACATTCATAAGCCGTAGATATTAGACATTAGGACCTACATTGGAAGTGTTTTTACCTGTAGATGAATTGTCTACCCCCTTTTTAATCAAGTAGAGCTACAGGATTATTTTTGCATAGGTTTTCCTACAAAGAATGACGAACATTCAGAGTTCATTATTCGATCATAGCTCAAGTTATGTTGTTCGTTTTTATGAATCACAGAAAGCATTATAACAGTGTAGGAGAGTTTTTATTAACTGGAAAAGTACATATATATTTGGGGAAGTCATTGTACGGATCTATACTAGATTTCTTCAGATGCAAATGATTTCAATTATTTTTTTTCAGTAAAGATCCAGCTTACAGTACTATTTTGCATGCCAATGAGTTGAATGTGTTCAATATATATTCTCTGTTGAGATCATTTTTATAAGTTTATGCCCTCCTGTTAAATTCAATTATTAATTTTTAATGCCTGTGATACAATATCTCTAAATTTCGATAGATTTTTATGAAAATATCCCTAGTCTCTCTTAGTCATTATGAATGTTCATTCTATGTGATACACACCAGTAGACAATTTTAAAATATCCAATATTTCAAAACATAATATATATTTTTTCTTCAAAGTTATAGCACATTTTGTGATTAAGAATAGTAAAATCTCATTTCTAAAGCTTAACTTAAAACTTTTAAACCATAATTGTTTATTCACGGAAACGAACGTTTCTAAATGGTCTAAACTAGGTTTTTGTAAAATTGTTGATAACAAAAGAAATTATAACTGGTGAGACTCTTGGAGCTGTAAGTTATCTTTATCCTTACTTACTTACGTCTGTCACCCACAATGGAGTGTAGGCCACCAACAAATATTCTCCAACCTACTCAGTCCTGTGATTCCATTTCCAGTTCTGTTAAGTTTTTGTTCATTCTTCTCTTTTCTGTCTCCTTTTCTCGGCGTAATATGTTTCCTGGTCTTCCTCCTTTACTTTGACCTTGAGGGTTCCACATGGGGGCTTGTCTTGTGACGTAGTTGGGTGCTTTTCGTAGTGTGTGTCCTATCCACTTGAATCACTTCTGCCTGATTTCTTCCTTATGCGTAAGATTTACTTGCATTAATGGTATACAAAAGTAACCCGTGTGAATATTTTTGAAAATAGAAATTAACTTAAAGTAAAAAAGAAATTGAAGTACAAAGACTAAAATAATACAAAAAACCATTGAAAATCTGGATTTCATGCAGTAAAATTTAATCTTCAACTGTATTAAACAAAAATTCAATTGTTTGATTGGATGAGAATTTTATTTAGGGAGAGAATAACGTTGTAACATGTTTATGAACATATTACTTTTGCATAGTTTACCACAGTACAGCTGATTCACTTACTAGATGTTTGACTAAAGTATATATAAATATATATATATACATCTGTATATCTTTAAATATACTTCTGTTCATAGTCATAATTTTCTCGTATCCAACATAAAAGTCATAATCTCAAAGTAAACAAAGTAAACTATTTGTTTATTCAAATGATGTCTGGAATGTTCTATTTTAGAGGAGTTATTTTTTTATTTTCAATTTGTTTAAATCATAATGAAAAAGTCAATTAAATAATCACATATTAGTGTGTTACTTTTAAAAGGAAGTACGATTGACTGATTGTAGGTAGATTTTATTGAATTGTGTGAGTTGAAATAAACAGAACTGTTGTAAAATAAACTACTCATGTCAAACAACTAATTGATCCGAATTTCTCGTAGGGAGATTTTTCAAACGATAACACCATCGGCTATTAGAGAAGGACTTTTCATATAACAAAATGACTGAATTATGGACCTATTACTTAATATAATAAAATACGAAACAACCATACTAAAACAGTAAATGACTGTGAAATGTAGACTCTATATCAGCATTCGCTTGCCACTAAAATTAAAATTTTTTTTTGTCAAGTTCAGTCTGTTGGGAACGTTAGATAAATGACTTAATTTTGAATATTATGTTCCGAACATGGGCTGATCAGTTGACCTAGAGATTTCATTTCCCACCGGGAACACCTTTGGCTGTGATTGGTTGTTGTGTACTTTAGTGTACTATTTTTGTGACTGTCCCAAGGACGTTTCTATGACGTGTGAATAAACGAGATTTGTGTACTTGAATGTATTGTGCTTGCTGGGCATTTGTAGAATATACTTTCTACGCTATATCAAGACTTTTGGTTAGTCATCGGAATCAGGATAGCCTACCTGGACGCTGGTTCATTGTCTCGTTCTCGTTTGTCGACTAAGCTGAACCTGTAATAGTTTCAGGCATACTTGGTGACGAACCTAACACAGTCCTGAGCACGAAATACGGCATATATGTGAGCTATTGGTAAGGAATTTGTTAAAATGAAATTCTGATTCATGCCATCAAAAGTGTTCTGGAAAATTTGTCAGTATTTATCGAAATATAAATTTCATAAACCTTGAACATCAATTCTACACCATCTATACACTGCTTGATTCTCACTTTCCTGATGTTTAACATTATCATGATTTTAAAGATAAATTTTAACGTTTCATTGGAAATGAGACTTTTTTTGTTCATTTTTTTAAACCAAAATGACTGACTTAACTTCTACCTTATATTAACCGCTAATTAACCATGTAGACATTGACACTGTATTACTATATTCGTTCAAATGTATCAATTGTATATTTTTAAATCATACTTTCAGGATGTTGAACAATAACAAATTAAGATGTATCGCAAAAGGAATATTTACAGAATTGAATCTTGAATCATTGTAAGTTTTGGTATTGATTGAATATATATATATATATATATATATATATATATATTTCAACCAATGTTCAATGGTTACCAACTTTTTAGGTTTGGAGATTTTTTTCGATTCGGCTTAATTTAAGTGTACTATGAATTTGACATAAAGCAAGTACATAATTTAAAAATGTTTATTTCAATTCAGAAGACAATATATAATACCTGAAACTTTTGGTTACTATCTCAATAAAAAATCTTTGTTCATGGTGTTAAGCTGTCTAGATTAGTTGGATCCTATTACAATTATGAAATCCGTATTACATAATGACGTTAAAATGACATAAACGAATCGACTATGACTTACTACTTAATACAACCAAGCCTTTGAGAACACTACATATCTAAAGAAGATCTTTGCGTAATCGACTCACATACCACAAATAAACACGTACTTTTGCCAAAGACCTTGATTTTAATAACTCATATTAAGATAAGGCGCAACAGCTGTATTTTGCTTATGCATTCGTTACAATGAAAGTCAAGTTTCAATGGTCTATTGATTATGTGAAGCGTTTAACTCCATCGATACTTTTACACAAATCTCTGTCTTCCAATACCAGACCTAAATGTATTGATGTTTAAAATTGTTCGCTTAGTTAGGAATTTCGGCTGGTTGACACCAGATCAATCATTTCGCTGAGGAAAAATGTGGTACAACAAGAGATTCACTTAACTAACAACTCTATCTACGAACTAAGCACTCATATAAAAGCCGCCAGATGTAAACAGTGTGCAGAATTAATCTATCTGTTTACATGGAGATATTCTTTCCTCGCTACAAATGCAAACTAAATAACTACAAATTGAACGGACAGTTCTATTTATCTGGGCTGGACATTAATTAAGAATGTAGGTGATTACTGAACAGATGTTCATCATAAAATAACGTTATCATTTGAGAAGTGACTGAAGCATTCAGGATTAATTGTATTCAGTCACTGTTACACCTTTACAATATCGATAGTTGCGATACTTCGCTTACATCATATTAGACTTAAGGTTGCTATAGATATTTAGTATCATATAGGCCGTGAATCGTTCATCGTTATAGCACAATTAGGAACCTGAAAGCACTGGCGGCCGTTTCATCCTAGTATGGAACTCTTCGGCAGTGCGCGCCACACCCTTCTCTCGCGGGGGCTGAACCCAGGACCTTCGGTCTTGCGTGTGGACACTTAACATCTAGATCAATAGGCAGGCGACCAACGGTGTTAATGTTGAACTTCGAGACCAGAGGTCCTGGGTCCGACTCCAGCCAGCGGGGTATGTGAACGCACATTGCTGAAGAGTCCTATGCTAGGACGAAACGGCCTTCTAGTGCTTCCAGGTTCCTGATGGTGGTCTAACAATGATTGCTTCACAATTTCAATGAAAAATAACAATTTCCATAAATCTATAACGAATATCAAATGAGTATTTTGATTCTTGCATATAATTAAACGTATTATCTGAAATCCCGTTTTTTTAAGAAACTACATAGAATTTTTTTAGTCACAGAAATTCGACCAAATTACTTTATCCAACTTAACTGGCCTTCTCAGTTCATTTAGCAAATAATTAGATAGAAATTATTTCATATTCCTTAGAGATTTTTATTCGTTTTGCTGCTTTCAATGTGTTTATCTATATAAAATAAGACAATCTCATTAATCATTAAATTTAACAGAGATTTATGAATAAAAAATGTTCAGTTATGATTAATATGTATATTTTTTTTACATAGTTATTGTTTTAAAACAATTGACAGCAATGTAAATATTAACCTTGGTTCTGCTGTGACAAACATTTAATAACTTTTCCATTAACTGACCTTAAATACAGACAATAAGTTGTTTGTTTCATTGCGATATTTCCACTGACTTTTGTGTCATATAACATGGAAACCAAAGTTGAAACTAACTGGTACAGTGAATCTATAAATCACTGGATGCAGAAATTACTTTATCGTTAAATATGTCAATAGAATATGTTTAAATTCAGTCTTGTGTTGTTTATTAGTTTTCATTTTAAATTAAATAACTTACAAGTTATTTATTGAGGTGAAGTACACTTTATTCTATGAAACTGTTAGAAAGATTAGATTTCAGTAGATCAACACATTCAAGCTGAATGAAAAAACGAGTTTGTTATGGTCATCGAAATTGAATTGAAATATTTAAGACGAGTTTCGTTCACTGCATTAATACCTTACTTACTACAGGATCAAAACTTAGGTTTGGACTGAGGAATAACTGTCAACATAGTTTAGATACACGTCTTGCCCAGTTTAAAACCAAAACAAGTGATTTGGGTTGATGACGGTTTTAATATTCATCGTAAATATAAATTTACATCATTACCTAAACAATATTACCACTCAGTTATTCCACCAACAATTGTTCAATTATTCAAATCAGCAGCAACAAATAAATGATATTCTATCCCTCCTGGCTAGATCAGATTTGTTCGACAGATAATATTTGGTTGCTTTATAACACAGAGTGTTTCCTATTCTGGAAGAGTACTTCAATTCACAATCAACATGCGCAATTCCAGTCTAAACAAGCAACACAATCAAAAGAGGAACAAATCAATATGGCTGTCTCCATGACTAAGTATCAGCTTAAATAACATAAATGCAGTTCAGAAAGAAACATAGAAACTCAGTAAAAGCAGAAGAAATAGAAACTGTAATAAAATACAAATATTGTAGTCTGAAATGGAATCGAACAGACTAACAAAATGTACAACTGAAGAAATCAATAGGGACAAATTACAAATGTATACATGGAGGGATTTTCACAAACAAAGCACTCAAAAATGGATCTTACACTTACTGCATTGAAAATATTAACAAATTACATCTGAATGCATTAAATAAGTTTTCATTTATATTTTTAAGGTCCAATAGAATTAAGAAGCAAATGATATAATTAAACTTCTAGTCAAAACGTAAGCGAACAGACAGAAAGATTTCGAAAACATTGAGGATTGTAATAGTACACCTGTACTGGTGGAACAAACCAGGAAAGATTTTAATGCTAGAAAAGGAGGGCATATGTGTATGAAAGTATAAAAAGAGTGAGATTTAGAACGAAATATAAAATGTACATCTTGATTGGTACCACCGAACTTCACTTATATTGCTTACGTTCTATAACTCCCGTTTGTTTCATAATCTCAAGCTTATTTGATAGCTGAAACAAACATTCATTGATTTTATCAAATGTATTACTATGACGTAGTTCAAATAGCTTGGTTTCGCAGACTTATTTTTGAAAGGAGTACTTAAATTACTGTATTTTTAAATTTTCAAGCGATTTCATTAGAGTTTTCCAAAGTTCTCATGATTATAGCATCATATGTACGAATCTACTAGGCGTTATACAACTAAGGAAACTATAAGAACCAGTGACTCAGACTGAAAGATCAACTCTTGAAGCTTCGTACCTTCATACTCTCTTATCACATACATTGATAACGCAACTTTTTGAAGACATTTTTATGTCGTGTTAAAGAACTAATGCTGTCTAAAACTTATTAGTTTTCTCAGTGATGTCAGTCATTGATTGACTCAAACAATCCACATACTAAACGGGTTGCTACAAACAGTCTACCTTAAGAGCATGCATATGCTGAATGATAATTGGCCTGAAGGCTAAATAAGTCAAGAAAGAAAGCGTGACCTGTAAATTTCAACTTATGGCCAAGATTACATTTATTAACAGCTGAAATTGGGAAATGCCTTCACTCGATTCCCGTTCAGTGACCTAAGAGACGGATCCAGGAGTAATCCCGTTTCAGGCCTTACATGTGATGTTGATCTGTCTAATACCTTCCAATTTCAAATATTATTTCTGTAGCAAAACTTCAAAAAAAAAATTCAATAATTCTCCAAAATCCATGTTCTTAACTCGTAATTAATTTATCATCTGACATAGAATAATTTATTTATTCGTCATTTTTTCATTGTTTATTTTGTGAAAAAAAACAACTAAATAAATTTAGAAGTTTGAGTGCCAACCCATTTAAATGTGACTGTCATCTTAGCTGGTTGCCGGATTGGTTAAGAAATAATGCAAATCAAATAAATGAAGGTCCATCACCGCCCACTTGCGTATTCCCAGAAGATTTAGCTGGTACACCAGTAACTAGTTTATCACGTTATCATTTCATTTGTAAAAAACAATCCGCTTCTAATCGTCTAATTCATGAAAATTTGAATAATGAGAAAGAGAATGGAATAGTTCAAAGTGTCCAAGATGTATACCGTGAAACAATGGAAACCAGTTGTTGTGAAGAAATAGCAGGTAATTTTATATAAAAAAAACAATTTTAATTTGTTTGTTCTTTAATAGTTTATTCCCCATACTAATTCGCTTAACATTGTTATAATAATATTTTTAGTGCTGTACAATGTTAGCTAGTTGGTTTAAGTTGTCTCATCACAAAAAGGCTTATTAGGACGCCGTATTCAGTAACTAGTAAAGATGAGTCTGAAATTATAGAAAGGATGTCTTTTTCAGTGAGTATGAAAATTCGTAGGAATACCTCTTTCTTCTAAAAACTGAATAAACCTAGTATACTAACTGATCATATTTGCATTTATTTGGAAAGTAATTGAATGTGGTATGATTCTAACTAATAATGATGTAAATAAAAGCATCGTTGTCAGTGTGAAGTGCTTTGAGACTAAATTAAGCGATTTACAGAATATAAATCAATGAATATAACACTATGTTTGTGCTTAACAGTAATGATTTCTAACTTAAGTGTATTATGTTATGCTCGTTAATTGATATGCTTGAATGCTATTACGAGTTCACCTTAGTCGGCAAACGAGAGCGAAGACAAATGATCCAGTGACACGATAGGCCACTGTAAATTCGAGCGTGCCAACGCCCCAATAAGTAGAGGGAGAAGTCTTGACAAGACATAGAAAGTGTATTCTACAAGCAACCAGAAATCCAGGTTGACAAGCGTACAAATCGAGCTTATTTGTGCATGATAGAAACGTCCTTGGGAGAACCACAAAAATAGCATACTAAAATAACACATCAACCAATAACAGCGAAGGATTTTCCGAGTGGGAAATGTGATCTCAAGGTCAACTGATCAGCTCATGCTCGGAAACATGAAATCCAAAATTAGAACCTTTATTAAGTTAGTTCTGGGGATCTAACGTCCCCAACAATCCAAGAATTACGTTATTAAGTTTTTAGATAAACTGTCAGCCAGCTAATCTTATTTGTGCTTTGAACGGCTTTATAACGTAATATCTGATAATGTAACAATGAAAAAGGTAAGATCAAACTACTAGCATATCTCATTATTAGATGTTGACCTTTTCTATACATGTAATTATTATTTCAAGTGAGCTCAGTTTGGCCGGTCGCATCTTTCTGATATGAGTATATTCATAGTTTTGTACTTTGAATGTAATGTCTTCCTCTAGTTCGACGGTGTTAAAAGAGGCTTTATTGCTGAAGTTTTCTAAACAGTTCAGAACTATATATATGTTATAAAAATATCACTGTTTCCTCGGTATCATCTGACTCAAAAAACTCTATTCACCTTATAATATCGTATCAACAGCAATCCATATAATCTACCTCAAGATAGAAATTTTAAAACCAATAATTTGTTTTTTCTATATACTAATTTTCTATCGACCTTGTTTTTATGCGATTTCGGTAAAGATAAATTTGATTAATCACGGCAATATAAATGAAATGTAGTTATTTGATTAAGGTGTTATCATTTTTTAAAAATTTATTATCAGGTCGAACTACATGTCCATCAAGTTGTGTGTGTGGAACTGATGGCGTTTATTGTTCAGACAGAAACTTAACCGAAATTCCTGCGAATATTTCACCTGAAACAACTCAACTGTAAGTTTACATTCTCGACGATGTATGAATCACTATCAAGCAGTATGAAAGATTGTTAAATTTTGCTATTATCATAAAACAGTTTGTGTGACTTGAAAGTGATATTGTTTTTATAAATCTCTATTTAGCTTACATTATCATATTTATTCTTCAGTATCTTTTGAATGAATAACACTACAAATACTCTGTTTGGAAAACAATATTGAGTTTGCAAAACTTACTAACAACTGATACTAGAAAATACTACACAGGCGGTAATTCACTTGACTTCTAGTCCACTACACATCTTTCTGACATTCCAAGTAACAAGTACTAATTGTCAATTGTCTCTGGTAAATCTTGACCAAAATACGTCTGTGTTTGGACAATTAGTCCCTTATCAAGCTTACACGTTTCAACATCTACCTGCTGATAAGTTTATGCAAAAACCTCTATTCTGTGTCCCCAGGAACTTTCAAAAAACACTTGCGTATACAGTTAATAGAATAGAGTATATCAATGGCGCTATCCTTGACCTTTTGAGACTAATTTTACTGGTTAATTGATGTCCTTTAGTACATTGAATGTGATTAAATGTTAAACTCGTGATGACAACACTTCTAAAAACCCATTATTTTTGAAGACTTTATCGTCAAAACCTATAAATGATGGGAAACATCGTAAATAGTTATCTTTAAATGATATTAGCACATCGATTTCTGTGATGTAATATTAATCCGTGTCGCAAATAAAGATAATATTATTATTACATTGAGCCATCAAAATGGATGATTATTTTAAAATTCTTACAATTTCTCATTGGAACACCTTTCCAGCATCTAATAATTAATACGGCATAAAACAGATAATATTACTTTATTTTCAGTTAGAGCTTTGGAGATTTGTGTTTTTTACACATTTGAAATCATCAATCAATCATTGTTAGATCACCATCAGAAACCTGGAAGCACTGAAATACAGCCGTTTCGTCCTGGTATGGGACTCATCAGCAGTGCGCATCCACAACTCCTGCACCTCTCAAGATTCGAACCCGGGACCTTCAGTCTTGAGCGCGAATGCCTAACCTCTGGACCACTGTGCCAGCACCCAACGGTGTTAATGTCTAACTCTGATTGATCTAGGGATTTTTCGCGACCTCACCCATTCGTTTTTGGTAGTTACTGCCAATACAGGAGTCGTGGATGAGCACTGCTGATGAGTCCCATACCAGGACGAAACGGCTGTCTTTCAGTGCTTCCAGGTTTCTAACGGTGGTCTAACAATGATTGATTGATGATTTCAAATATTACTTTGATTGTAACCTTAAAAACTATTTTCTTTCTGACTGGACCATCTCTCATTCGAATAAACAAAGAAAATCATTAGTTACTCCTGACGATAATTAATTTTTTTACTTAGATGACGAACGAATCCAATACTCACGTAGACAACCATTGTTTGTAGGGTTACAGTGAACCACAATATACTAGAGAAACTTTTAATCAGCTTTCTCTATTTTACCGATAAATTCATTATACTGTACTGTGAATCAGTAGTATACTCTGGAAAATACTCACCGCATAAATTACTCATCTCAGCAAATTTCATTTTAATCCTTAGAAAATGAGATGAGATAAACTTATGGCTAAACAGATTTAATTACATTTTACTAAATAGATCTTAGTGCGGCAAAATATGGTTAATTATTCATACTTTTTTTATTTCATACTTTCTTATATATAATATGCATTTTTTCTCCCTCTCTTTTATACCTACCTACCTGTTAGCTACTTGGAACGAAACCAAATCACGAACATTGATTCAAATAGAATAGCCCATTTGAAAAAGCTGCATACCTTGTATGTTTACCGACAACTCATTATTGTTTGTATGTTATGTGACTACTGGGCAATATTTATTTTCTCATGGGGTTATTCATTTTAAAGGTTTTTTAATTTAACAACTTCACATCAGGTTGTTTATTCTGAGCGATTCTATGCACACACACACACACACCGTTTAGAAGATGGTTGACGCATCATGAGATAGTGCTGATACAGCTCGCTTGTATTATCTTGTGTTGTTTACTGTAAACTTTACAGAGTACAATCAAAAACATTTACAAGTAGAGATCTTTTTCACTTAATGGTTTATTGTATGATTCAAAATGCTTTGTTCTATGTCTCTTCATGCCACTCATTTAGAATAAAGAACGTAAGTAGACAGAATAAATATCCAAAATGTATGTTTACACCTTGCCGTTTTCTTGATTATTGGTCCATTTCTAAGTGATTTTTCGAAACTAGTTTAACAGAAATGATTGATACTTCAAAAACAAAACACTATGGTATTTAAAACTCTTTTTTTTCACAGAATTTGTTTGTTTGAAGCATAAATCCTGTGTAATTCATAGAGATGACAATCAACTGAGTATTTATCCGAATTCACAGTTCATGATCAACAACTAGTTTATAATGCTGACTAAAAAATCAGATTCTATCACAAATAGATTGATAGCAAATATGCGAACGATAGCAAAACAACTCATATATGAACAAGACCCAAAACCCATAGGTTCCTTCATATGTGAGAAGGTGGATATTCTTGGATTAAGAGTTTTGAGCCCAAAGGAAACACTTGCTAAGTAGATTTTTGTATTCTGCGATTACTTAGCTAGCATTAGTTGGTAAGGAAATTTGTCGTTTAGACTGATTAGTGCATCAGATATAAATTACAGGTCTTCCTATATATATATATATATATATATATATATATATATATATATATATATAGCAACATAGAACTTCAAATCCATTAGTGGTAGAGGTAGTAAAGGTATTAGAAGTAGTCGGAGAGGTTAGGATTAGAACATATTATTCAAGAAATAGAATCTAGTGAAATAGACCTAGAAAGATAAAGTGATGAAGAATTAAAAAGTTTAGAATTTGAGAGAACACAAAGAATGAATGCACCTGCGCAATTGCAAATTGTTTTGAGCCATGTCATTCATCTCACAGACTCCAACCAGGTAGTTGACACCTACCGACATGACTCAGTCTATTTGTCAGTGACTTCATGGATTTGGGACATGTTTTGGTCTGGCCGCCCCTAGCTTTCTTCTCACCTGTTCCTACACCACAAAACAGCTCGTCGAGGCAGTCGGTGGTTAGCCATACGTAACACATGCCCCAACCACCTCAACTGATGAAGTTTCACCACTTCATCTATTGATCTGCCATCCTTACCTAGTACTCGTTTCCTAACAACAGCATTGCTTACTCAGTTGTCTCAGGATATACGAGCAATGCTTCGAAAACCAGTAACTTACGAATATCTTCCACTCTGACTGGCCATGTTTCACAGCCATAAAGTAGGACGGAGCGAACCACTGCGCAGTACACTCGGCCTACACGTTCGACTACTTCACTTCCTAGTTCAGGTACCGATGTAACCCAATCTTGAAGTAACATTTTGAATTTCGAGGGGAAAACCACATCCCGAACATGCTTGCATCATATACATATATATATATATATATATATATATATATATATATATATATATATACTGATCAAGCAATAGTGCCATACATTTATTGATTTAAAAAAACTTAATATACCACCAGAATGAATGAAGAATATACAGTGATCTAAATAAAACATTAAAATGTTTATAATAAACTCCATATGTGATTCATCAAATAAATATTTTGGTAAATCATATAATCAACCCCAAACTTGCCTTTATTCCTTTTTTCGAAAATACTTAAGCCATATGTTTATAATTACGAAAGTAATGTCCATTATGAACTTTTATAGTTATCCGAACCTTTTAATCGATATTTAATGGTTTTATGAGATCAAGCAAGTGGATGTGATATTGTGGACTTCATTGATCATTAATTTTTATGAGAATTTAGCGAATCTTTTTCAGTCTTACTTACTAGTGAGTATTTAGAAAATTGACTCAATAATACGTGTCTTCTTTCATCCGTACTGGTTGAGTAAGAACATAGTTCTTAAATTATAAATCCGTATTTGAATGATACTGTTATCCAGGTGGTAACATTTTAAAAGATGTAACTACGACTATAAATCTCTCGCACAGCTCTGTTGTACAGTAAGATTCAATTAGAATGCAACAGCTACATGACCCACTCATAAATAATGTCAGTCACATCGAAAAGAAAGCAGTAACGTCGGATACTTTTTTTCACTCTCCATAATTGCTTCTTTCATTTAAACAATCCGATTGTTAAGTTGCACAGCACTTCCTCTTGACTGAAAACCTTAACGTAGTCGGACGGAGGTTACTGGGAAGCGAAATTGTGTATAGTAATGATTTAGTTATAATTTTTTTAGTAAAAGTTGTCAATGGATTGACTTACATTAAATTATTGATGTATTAGGGCTAATTACTGTCAGTTAAATATATTTTTAATTGACTTATTGATTAGACATTTAAATTCTTATACATACATAGAACAGATTCATTAGACATTTTATTGTTTCGATTGATTAGTTTTGAAGTTCATTGTGTGAAATCACTAGTGCGTACATAAATCTATGTCAGTAGTAATGCATTCAGCTACTTTCATTGAGTTATATTAGTCTTTTTACGTTAAAAATTAACAAATATAAGTTTATTCAGCGGTCATAGTATTGAACTGAACTGTTTTGAAGAATTATTTATAGGAATCACTTTTGTGGTAAACTTTTAACTGACAGTTTAGTTACAATAAGGAATTTTGTGGATATACCGATGATTTGATGATAAGAACATCAAAAAAAATAATCTTTTAGAGTATTGTTTTATGAATGATTTACAGAATAATGTACTTTGTTTAAATTTGTTAGCTTCTGTCACTATAAGAGATTATACAGATGATGTTTTAATCATCTGTGACGAAAAGTTCTAAGTCGCTGACATCTTTCGAGAGTTCAGTAATTAAAAAGACAGTGTGATCAGAATCCGACTCTCATCCTCAAAATCAAACTAAAAAGGGCCAAACGGTTACACTGAACAGTCATTTAATAAAAAACTAACCTGGACTGGATTGTAAACAAACCTACAGAGTTTAATGTCATTGAGTTCGAAGACAAACGAGATTTACTTTGTTTGTATAACGAAATGAAAACTGGTCAGTTGAGTTTCCAGAAGTATTTACTTCTTACTTACTTACTTACTTCGTACTTACTTCTCCGATTTATTTGCAAAAACTTTGTGCCAGTATGACAGCCGACATTATCACATTTTTGACAGGTCTGTCTTTGATATCATTTCACAAAGTCTATATGAAACACATTCCGATCCCTTCACTAATGTTTCTTTAGAAACGGTTAGTACTGTCATTTAATTGAGTATTCATACACTTTGATACTACATTTGAGAGGTGAATGAAGCTCTCACTAAATTATTTCAGGAAAATGCAATGAAATAACCTGTTTTGCTTAGTTTAATCAATTATATGTAAATTCTCAAAAATCTTTTAACATGTGTTTTCTCATTAATTTAATTTGAAAGTATTTTTAGACTATTTCTTTGTATTGTAGAATTTTAAGTTATAACAAACTACGTGAACTACCACCGCGTATATTTGAAAAATTAACAAATCTAAAAACAATGTAAGTCAACTACTGTTGTTTTCCAAGTATTTATTCAAAATTTTGTAACCTTATTTGGTGATTTTCATCATGTATCATTAACAGTTGAATAGCTACTAAAAAGCATAACCATTTAGTCCTAGTTTTAGAGCACTTTAAATTATCCTCGTACACTAATCACTAAAAGTTGAATATAACTGACATTTACCTTTGATGAAAGAGTTTATTAAGAGAGATCAAGTAAGCGAGAACGTTTATTTACTGATAAAATCTTAAGTGACATTGAAAGATTTATTATTGAAATAACTAAAATTTCTTATTCAGTTTAATCCGATGGGATAAGAATTTATTAATAAGAATTAGAGAACTACAACCAGCAAGACTCACAATCAAGAGAATAAGATCTTGATCACCTGTAGTGAAATCCTCACAACTCACTTCCTCTTTAAGTTAATGCTGACGATGATACCTTAGAACATAAGGAAGCTCCATGACTAAACCATACAACTGATCCGGTATCTAACGGTGTTAACGTCTAACTTGATCAATTCACGGAGCTGCGCAACCTCATACACAGTCTTCGGTAGTTATTGTCTACACCCGAATAGGTTGAACTTCACTGGTCACATCTTCCCACTAAAATTCGGAGAAGATTCCTCACAAAGCTAGTCACTAGTGAGCACAGGTAATTTGCATTACGGCTCAGTGGTCCGATGGTTAGGTGTTCGCGCACAATACCGGAGGTCCTGGGTTCGAATCCTGCGGGGTGCAGGAGTCATGGATGCGCACTACTGAGGATTCCCATTCCAGGACGAAACGGCCACTGTCCAGTGCTTCCAGGTTTCTAATAGTGGTCTAACATTGATCGATTCATGGTTTCAAAAATGTGTAACTTAACAATCTTCACAACCCTGTAATGTAAACCATACAACTCAGAAAATACAGTTTCACTCAAAGATTCTTCTGAGATACAAATCTTTATTATTTTAGAAAACCAGTTATTTAACGTTCACAAGGAGGTTATACCTTTCACGTAATTTCTATCTATTTTATGTAACGCGAAACATCAAAAGTGATGTGTAGTCCATGTATTTGTACATATTTTTATTAAAGAATATTGCTAGATAATGATAGATGCAACAATTTTTAAATATTCTCACTTTACAATTAACTTTTCAAGGAATTAAATTACTGTATCTATCTATACACCATGTGAATTGTAGTCTTGGTAATAATATATCAAATAAGTAGTTCATTTCATTTAAAATGCAAAATATTTATGTATGTGTATATACATATATATGTGTGTGTGAGTGAGTGAGTGAACAGATAAACTAACACGAAATAGGCAAACATGTCGTGCTTACAAAATAAAATAGAATTAATTGCCTGTTTACTTATTTCCTTGCTTGTATTTTCACTTATAAAAATAACAAAAAGTAATAAAGATGACACAGATTTTTATTTTACTATGATGATTCATTATCACTTGTCCATTGCATCGCATAGTAATAATATAAATCGTCTAGACAAACGATTTCAAAATGAGGTCGTTTAAATCATAAAAACAAAATATGATGTGTTCAATTGTTGAACAATTAAAATAAAACTAAAAAAATTTCAATTGGTACATTTGAATTAATATGAAAAAAGGGGAGAAAAACGATTGCTTCAAACCGAGAATTTTCTGATATTTTGATTCAGTCCTTGGTATTTACGCATATAAGTATAATCTTAAAAGAAAAGTTTCTTAAGGTCAAATGTATTGTTTGTAAAGTGTAAATCTAGAAATTGTGTCAAACTGAATGCAACTAACTCTAATAAAGCTGGAAGTCTATCATTAAACGTAAATTTTTCATTATAGAGTTATGGGGATTGTAGTTGATTAAGGAAGCTTGAATTAGTCAAAACCATTAGAAAGTTGGAAGCACTGGATGGCTGTTTCGTCCTGGTATGCGACTCATCAGCAGTGCGCATACATAACTTCTGCTACTCGCAGGAGTAGGTGACTTGTGTGAATATTTTACCTCAAAGACTACCGGTTTTAGTTCTGTTTTTCTTCAAAATCTTTTTTCGGCATTCCGATAGACGAGAAAGAACATAAATGATTCAAGTCGATTTTATGTGGAAGGAGTTCTGACATGAGGGTGGTTTACTGGTAAACACTGTTGTACTAGACATCTTCCTATCTATAAACAATACAAAATAGTTATAGGAAATATCGGGTTAATAATTTACAACTTTATACACATATAAATCAATATCTACGTTAGATTTTATGTCCATAGTACCGCAGTTGAGTATAATAGTTGATTAGATGAGTCGAATATTCTCATACATTGTTTATGTAAATAAAAATCTAAAAATTTACAAAATCATCGATCGCCTCTCGAGAAACTGTTCTCTTGAATTCACTCCTTGGTCTTAACGAATTTTAAATTAAGGCTAGTAGTGGGTCTAGTACGTTTTACAGCAATTCATGGTTGCGATAGAAAGGTTGTTACCTGTTGACTAAATAGTCCAAAGAACAGCCTAATGATATTTTTACTGCTGATCATTGACTTCTCTTTTTAATACAAAACTAGATGACAAGTCTCATGTACAATGAATTGCTTTACTAAACGCCACTTAACTAGGGTCATTCTGTTAAAAATCTTACCTTCAAAATTGGCTTCATGAAACAGTACTTGTCTTTTCTAAGCTTTAGTAAGAAAAGTCAACTAACTCGTAACAGGCTTGTTCACACTCACCAAACAGTAAACTGATTTTCGAACTTTAGATAATCACTTTGCCCACCATAACCTATAAACAAAAATTTGAATTATTGTAATATTAAAATGGTTTTTTTTTCTGTTTTATTTATGATGGAATCCTTTTTGTCTTATTCTGTGTTTTTATTTTTAGTGTACTGAGCTATAATAATTTACAATGTATTCATCCAGAAGCTTTTCATGGTTTATCTAATCTTCGAGTTCTGTAAGTATTGAATTAAACAAATTGTTGTGTTCTTATATTCACCACATGGTTAATGAGGAAATCAATCTTTCTCTGCTTTACTGTCTACACAGAAACGATTCATATCTTCAATGTTTTATGCTCTGTACTTGAGTAACGCCAAACCACTGTACAAATGACAACACCGAACGTTAGACTCCCACCGTTCAAAAAATAAGAAGACGGAAGACGTTGGAGAACACTTATTAACAGAATCAAAAATATGTACAATCAAACATGCGTATTTATACAGTTATACATATAATCGATATTGTCGTTTAAATATTTGAATATTAAATCAAATAGTTCATCGATCGACTGCCCTTGAAATAGTTAAGCATTTAATCGATAAGTTCATCAATCCACAATGTGCGTGGCTTTCTTCTCGATTGGCTATCCCAACACCTCCCCGGAATAAGATTTTTTTCTTGAGTCCACTTGTAGTCTTACGACTGGTTTGCGGCGGCATTCCATTCTGGTTGTAGTTTTTCGAGTTAGTGTCTCCGACCTTCCCTTTTCTTCGGCATTCCGGGACAAATGTGTAGTTGTCGGTTCTGTGATCAACTCCAGCGGTAGATTTACGCCATTAGCACCCGAGCGTACCATTCTATCGTCCTTTCGCAGTTGGTTCGTGTGTCTAACACAGCTTCCGAAATCTCCTGTTATTCGATACAAAACTCTTCCTATTCTTTGGACGACGGTTCCTAGTTCCCATTGATTTTTCCCCAGATATGATTTTGGGAACACTTTATCGCCAACGTTGAAGCTGCGAATATTTTGATTTGGCCTGTACCTACTCACTCTTTTAGGGGGCAACATCGCGTTAAAAATAGTCCGAATACGTCTTCCAAACATTGCTTCACAATGGTTAAGCGTGTATTGAAAAAACCTTCTTAAAATTATTGATAAAACTCATTACAGAAAGCACAAAATAATTATGATTTATTTTCAAATTCTTATTTGACAATTTCCGTCTAAAGAAAAGCGATTCAAATGACATTTGTCATCATTAATTAATTAAATATTTATTCTTTGATTAAAATTTCCAGTTGAAAACTTAAATCTCCCATGGAATGGTTGTTGTTGTCATTACAGAAAGTACACTTTATGAGCGGTCTAACTGTTGTTATTTTCCACAAGAGGAAATATCAACAATGATAAGCGCTTAATTTTTTTTTTATCAATAACTCATGATACAAACAACGTTTTGTTTTCAATGTACAAGATTCTTTCTTTTCTAACAATTTACGATATGACTATTTTTCATCAAAATCCAAAAATCTGTGTTTTAATTATCTTCACAGTTAAGTTATCCAGTTGATAGACACAATGAAACTTTAAAAGTAACGTGTTTTTCCTGCAACACTAGCTGACAAAACATCCCCAAACTTACTATCAGCATTAAGCTGAATTTCATTTAAACATTTACAAGTTTACGAACAAATAGTTTACATACCCTTGAAAAATACTTTGAAAAGTTTACATCTAGAGAGCATTGAGTGTCTTTGTTTCGAAAAGAAATCATCTCCTAATCAGTGCAATGATTGGAATCTCAATCAGAAATGAGCAATTATCACTCAAAAATGATACCATAGTTTGTCAAAGAGTAATAATAATTCACCAGAAATAATGTTGATAACCGTAGATCAACAAGATAAGATCAGTGAATTACTTGAGAAACGTTGAACCATATTATTTCCACTAATTTTTTTCGAATAATTTACAAGAATAACTAAACTTCTATAAACAAAACTATGCAAAATGTCATACTTATTTGCTTCTAATATATTTTTTAAAAAGCATAATAGTAGTTTATTACTTACTTACTTACTTCCGCCTGTCACGCTCAATGGAGCATAGGCCGCTGACCTGTGTTCTCCAGCCTACCCTGTGATGGGCTTTCTTTTCCAGTTCTGTCCAATTTTTGTTCATTCTTCTCATATTTTTCTCTGTTTCTCGGCGTAATGTGTTACCTGGCCTTCTTCTGGTTCGCGTTTTTTAGCGAGTTAGATTTTTATGGGATGGGGTCGCCAACCCCATGCCCAGCTCTCCTTTATTCGGGCTTGGGACCGCAGAGGGGCTCCAGGAGGAGTATTAGTAATTTATTGGTAATATCCATAATTTGTTGATATCATGTTTAAAGGTGTCATAGAGGTGTCATAGTACGTGAAACAAGCATCTTGGGTCTTACTATTGATTAATGTATTCTGTGAACAGGAAATTGATTAGCTTTGTAAAACTTGAACCATATCACCTAGTTCTACAGTTTGATGTATTACCGCTGAGATATTCTGGCCAGGACTGACACCCTGTAACATTGAAATGCTTATAGCTGATTGACTAAACATGAAATGGATCACTAGTCTGTAATCGATCCGTTATACTACTCTCTAATATGTAAAAGCATGGTCAAGAGGATAATCAGTGACAATAAGTAAATTAGTTTACACTTTTTAAACCACAATTAGCATCATACTCCATTCTGTCTAGCTCTTTTCTTACAGGCTTCATTTTACATCTTTTTTACACCTTATTCCCTATGCATCTTTGGCCGTTTAAATTCTATATAATTCCTAAACTTCGCGTACTGTTCATCCTTATAACCGTTACTAGATATATATAACTCAGAAGACAACTTCAAAGCATTGATGATGTTTATTATAGCACCACATCGAACACCACCAAACCACACGCATACGAACTGTAAGTGAAATGATATCCAAATGCTAAGGTACTAATGAACGCGTTTCAATTGCAAACATATGTGTTTAGGATAATGAATGAGTCACCGAATTATTTACATAAGTAACATTAAAGCTAATAGAATGAATATGTGCGTAGGCTTGTAACCAATGCTCAAGCATACATGCTCAGACAAACGCGACAGAAATAAAATTACAACGGTATTACCAAGTTGTTGCTGTTCGAATGGTTCTATCTGTTAAACAAGTTACTAAAACAGCTTAGCCAAATTAAACCTAAACAAACTCAAATGTTTGAAATCATCAGTCAGTCATTGTTAGACCGCCGTTAGGAACCTGGAACCACTGGACGGCTGTTTCGCCCTAGTATGGGACTCATCGGCAGTGCGCACCCACAACCCCTGCACCTCTCAGGTTTCAAACCCAGGAACTTCGGTCTGGCACAGGAACGCCTAACCCCTGAACCACCGAGCCGGCATCCGACGGTGTTAATGTCTAACTCTTATTAATCTAGGGATTTTGCGCGACCTCAACCATTTGTCTTTGTTACTTACTACCTACACTCAACAGAATTGAACTCTATTGGTCACGTCTTCTCACTAGAACTCCGAGAACTTCCTTACGAAGCTCGTCACATATTACGATATTTTCAATTAGAGTTGTAGGGATTATTGTTTTTACACATTTGAAATCATCAATCAATCATTGTTAGACCACCATTAGAAACCTGGAAGCACTGAAAGACGGCCGTTTCGTCCTAGTATGGGACTCATCAACAGTGCGCATGTTTTCAAATGTATAAAAACACTAACTCTAATTGATAACTCAACTGTATATGAGATGTTTCACATCGGTGAAAATGTAATTTCTCTATTTTATTTCCTTTCACTACTATTTTTCCTATTAGAATACTTCAAGGAAACAATATTTCCATTATACCAGAAGGTACATTCAATGGTCTTGATCAATTGAACAATGTGTAAGTTATTCTCGTTTATTTATTTATTTAAACACCTTTCTTGTCAATTTTCTTTTTATTATCACAATTCTTCTTCTATCTACGCAGACAATATATAAATTATACACAACAATAACTTCATTGTTTATCCAATACACATGAAACTAATAAAATATGAATAAAACTTCTTTCTTTTTTAGTAGACACAAAAGAAATAATTTTTAAAATATTTAGTTTTTTTTTTAAAAACCAAACAGAATAGCAGCATCAAGTTCAATGTACATGTGTGTAGTAGTAGTAGTAGTATATTTCTTTTATTTGATGTAAATAATATCTAACTAAACTGAGTACAACAACATGTTCACTATTTATATATTTTTTTAAATGTGCTTTGTGTGTGTGTGTGTATGCACAAATGTAATTTAATGGCATTGTTTGTCAGAGATAGAAACATCACGTGATTTTTTTTTCTGGAAATTCATCAAACAACCTATACAACACATTTTATTTAATTTGAGATAAATTCACTCGGATGTAGATCTTTATCAAAAAATTTTATGAAATATACATAAGATAATAAATGTTTGTTGTTCTAAAACATCTATATATATATATATATATATATATATATATATATATATATATATATATATATATATATATATATATATATATATATATATATATATTCATAGATAAGAGTCATAAAATTACACTGAATGAAAATTTATTTCATAATAATCCAATCAGTATTTAAATTAACTAGTCTATTATTTATTATGCTAGATGGATATTTGAAATCTGAATAAACAAAGTGTTTAAATTTAACTTAGCTTCTATGAATTCAACATGGATTATTATTGTTATTTGAGAAGCTTTTCATTGACGTGTGGAATCATAATAATCTTGCTTTAATTTACTCTAAAAGATTTTGTTGAATATTAGAAAGCAATACTCAGAGTATGGTATAAATTTATTCAAGTCTAATGTGTTAACCAGTAAATAAAGATGTTGTTTTCGTTATTTTGAAATTAACTGAACTGCAAAGTTCTGGATACGTTTTTTTCAATATTGTTTGAAAACAACTTGAAATTTACAAGAAATTTCTGACAAATAATTGTCAAGATGTTATTCGATAGGCTCGTTGTTCCGTTTTTGGATAACCAATACGAATACTCATCCGATTTTCTTTCTTGAAAACAGTATATAACTGTGTGAACTTGTTATTTACGTGGTGTCTTGAATTAGTTAAGATATTTAAATTTTCAGTTTCTTACTGTTACATTTCCTCACTAGTTCTAATTAAATATTTCTAATATGCTGATCATAGTAGATAAACTACTTTTAATCAATAGGCTGTTAGCCATCAAAATCCAAAATACTTATCAAAGTTAAAGAAACTATTTTACTAAGCTTTGATTACTATATCAATGACAACAATATTGAATTCAAAAACGTGAATGTTTGCTGATAAACGTCTAGTTTTCAGTTTTCATGGTCAATCAAATACATATTTACTTATAATTCTAACTTATATATCCAGATGACTGGAAAACCTGTTGACTGAGCATGTTAAATGATAATAATCGAGCGAATAGTTTTTCATTCTATGAATCTTGTCTGATTATAGGGTTGTGGGGATTTGTCGAGTTACTTTGAAAACCTGGAAGCACTGAATGGCCGTTTCGTCCTGGTATGCGATTCATCGTCAGTGAGCATCCACGATACCTGCCACTCACAGGATTCGAACCTTGGGCCTCCCACCGTCCAGTGCTTCCAGGTTTCCAATAGTGGTCTAATATTGATCGATTCATGATTTTAAAATTTTGTTTGAGACTAATCAATCATCTATATACCAATTATTACAAGAAATTTTCTATACATCAATCAAATGAATGCAATTATATCATTTAACCTGTTGGCTTTAAAATACTTTGTGCATAATATATTACCATATTAGTTAAAATAGTCTTACTTTGCTCTTTCGACCAGTAAAACAGTGAAAGCTTTAATTTTATTGCATAATTTTGTACTTTTCAGACAGTAACTAGTATTATGTCATCACATTAATCCTTTCTATTCTATATCGCTTGTGCCAAGCCAGAGCTACTACATATTTTTAAGTGATACAGTTTTCTTATTAGTCAAATGAAATATTATTATTAAAGTAACTATTTAGTGACCGTTACTTTGCCTGTCTGTTGATTTAAGCATTCCAACTAAAATGGGAATGAATGCTTGTCGGCTTATTGAGAACGACACTGATGGTTTCGATTATGTAACCACTTTAATTAGTCTAAGATCAGCTTTCTATCGCCTGAAAGTGACTGCAACACAAATCTATCTCTAAGAAAAATCAAAACAATTCAATTTCACAATGTTTAATATCGATTTGACAAAAATAAATACTTTATAAGTAGTGTCAGCAATCTCTTTAGTGAAGCGGCCACCATAGCTGGCCTTTATATTGGTTAAATTTGTTGTTGTTATTTGATTTTATCAATTGAGTACAATTCAGAAGAAACGCATGATTAATTTCTTTAAATAAATACTGGCTACTAACATTATTAGTCAGTAGCATAATATTTTACAAAAAATAACTATTCACCATTTTTCTGCTTTCATAAATTTAGGGCAGTTGGACAAAATCCTTTACATTGTGATTGTACAGCCAAATGGTTAAATGATTTCTTTCGACAACATTTCTTAGATAATGGAATTGCTCTATGTTATAGTCCTACAAATATGAAATTGAAATCAATTTATCATTCAAAACCTACAGATTTTATTTGTCCATTAAAACAACAACATGATCCGCAAAACGAAGCAAATACAAGTTCATCCATAAACAATGATGAAAATCTTCTCTATTTTCAAAATACAAAAACATTATTACCTGAAAATCAGAATAATCATTATGATCACAAATCGATCTCAGAATCAAATCAAGATGAAAAAGAATCCTTAATGATTAATGCCAAATGTATGCCATGCTTATTGAATCCATGTCAAAATGGTGGTACTTGTTTAGCATTAACTCAATTGGATTATAAATGTTCATGTAAACCCCCGTATTATGGTAAAAACTGTGAGCAAAGAGATCATATATGTTCAACAAATCCATGTCAAAATGGTGGTTTATGTAAAATCACATCTTATCCAAGTTCATTCAAGTAAGTATACTGAAGTGATTTACGTAATACTCCTAACAAATTGTTGTTGTTAAATATAAAATTATCTTTCGATAGAAGCTTAACCAAACAGCCTAACCACTCATTTCGTCTTCAATGAATTAGTTAGGATTAGTAAATAAAATTCAGTAAAGTTAGAATATTATTTTTTAAATCGGTTACTAATCACAAGTCTATATTTTCAGCTTGAAGTTGCACATTCGTTGTAAGATTTAGAAGTATTACTCGACAATTTAAACAGGATTACAGGAATTAGAGCTTCATCACTCACTTACTTACACCTATTACCTCTCCTGGAGCATAAGTTGTCAACCAGGATTCCCCAAGCAACTCTATCGATCACTCTCCCTTGAAGTTGTGCCCAATCGCTACTCATTCTTCTGATTCTTGACTCCGATTCTCCTTAGTCTACATCTTTCCCCTAGGTCACAAGGATATAAAGTTACTGCTTGCCTCATGAGCCGATTGGATGATTTTCGCAATGTTTCCTATCCACCACCAGCGTTATTTCCTTATTCCTTCTTCAGTGAGAAGCTGATTTGTTTTCTGACACATTAGGTTGTGCCTGATGATTTCTGGCCAACGGATCTTCTCTACCTTGCAAAGATAATTGTTTATAAATACTTGTATTTTGTGGATGGTGGCTTTCGTAGTTCTCAAATTTTCCTCATCATACAATCGAATTGTTTTGATGTTTCTATTGAAAATTTTGACTTTGGTGTTGGTTAACAAATCTTGTGAGTTCCAGATGCTCTTTGAATGTAGAGATTCTGCTACCGCTTCGTCAACCCTTGCCTTCATGTTTGCATCATACACTGCTTGCTTATCAGTGATGCTTGCTAGATGTATAAAGGTTTCTACCTGTTCCAAAGCTTCTCCGACAAATGTGATCCGGTTGGTTCTCACAGTGTTGTAACTAAGGATCTTATTTTTCCCTTGTATATGTTGATAAATATGGCTGTAGAAGAGAATGCTACACTGGTCGTCTTCACATGAATTTGCTGCTTTCTGTGGAATAGAGGAGCTAGGTTATCTGTGAAATCCAAATCGTCTAGCTGCATCCTATCCATCCATTATGTTCCCTGCTGCCCCTGAGGTGTTGAGGTTTTCATAATCCAATTAGGCACTAGAAAAGAGATAAACGGTGAGAGTAAGAAGCTTTATCTGACAATGATCTTCACTTAGGGTGGGTCTTTTGGCTAACCTCCATGAGCGACTATAGTATGCAGTCCTTGGTAAGAACTTTGTGCGTTATTGGCAATCTTCTCAGGTACACTACCATGTTGAAAACGTTTCCAAAATGTCCTCCTATTCACTCTGTTAAATGCCTTCTAATAGTCAAGAAAGTTGACATATAGTGATGAATTTTATTCTATTGACTATTCACCATTTATTCATAGTGTCGCGATTTGGTCGGTACATGACCGACCATACATTCGAAAATCTCTCATCACTTTCGGTCACTTTTCTCACTCCATATGATCCCATCATATCTTCATATCTGGCGTTGTCTGTTTCAACTTTGGCGTCTGCATCTCCCACCATAATGGTCAGGTCCCCTCCTTTTTTCTTTTGATGGATGCTTTGAGTGGATCCTTGAGATTCTCATCCCTTAAGGGTTTCAACTACCACTTTGGACAGCACCATTGCGACTCATTGTGTGTAACAAGGAATTTTCATCCTACAATATAATATTCAGAAGTTGATTGATTTAGAAGTTAAGTTGTTTCTATTTCATCAAGTGAATAACTATAATTATGTGTAGTAGTCTGACACAATGAACTAATTTCAATTAGGTAAATAATGAGTACTAAGAAACACGTGATAGATGGTTTATCCTAGTTCTGGTTTAATTGGGAGTATTCATTCATATACTCACAAGGAAATGAAGCCATGAACTACAGGCTCCTTGGCTAACGATTGATCTTGAGACCAGTGAATGGCTATCTAATGATTTATGCATCTGACTTCTATCTGTCCACAATATTGTGAGACAATCATCTATTGGCGTTGGTTATTTCAATCTCACTTCATATATGGTTCAACTTCATTACTAGAACTTGGGTAATTGCCTTTCGAAGTTACTCGGTAGTGATTGTACAAAAATTTCCAGTAGTTCTTCAATTGACTCTACTTTCGGGTCTGATTCACCTTTAAACTTGGAATGAATTTAGCTGATTTATGATTGTTACTTAAAGTTTTCTAATTCTAGATTCAATTTCTTGATAAAATTTGAAATATGAAAAATGAAATGCAATAAACTGATTTATTTGAAATCTATGATAAGCACGTCGCACAAATGATTGAACTTTTTAAATTTATCGATCCGAAGTTTGAAATTAATAGGATACTTAGTGCTAAATTTTAAAAAAAAAATGTAATCATACTAATGAAGTTCACTTAACACAATTGATAGTTAACCTAATTTGACCTGATTTCTAAGGCTGTAATTCATATTGTGTACTTTATCAGCATGGAGGGTAGAAAATAGTTGGCTGAAATATTTAGTAAAATTATTACAGCTCGCGTATTAACAATTTTACTGGGTCATTGTTATCATTGAGTGTTTCATACATGATTGATACTATCTCTGCTGATTAGTTTATTTTTTAACTAGAGGCTTATGTTTTATCTTCAATTAACTAATTATTCACTTTAGTTAAGTTTCTTTCTACTCGTTAAGTAAAGCTATGTGGAACAGTAACTTAGTATTGTTGAAAATTAATCTTTGTCACATTATCGTAATGTGAATTTCTGTCTGAAAGCGAAATTAAATTTGATAATTAAACAATCTTTCAGAAGTCTATGTCATCCAATAAGTTCATCATGAGCCAGTAAAGGTGTTAATGTCTAACTTCCATCAATGCAATTACCTGCACTCACTAGTGACTAGCTCCGTAAGGAATCTTCTCCGAGTTCTAGTAGTAAATCGTGACTAATGAAGTTCAACCTATTCGGGTGTAGACAGTAAATACCGAAGACAGTGCATGAGGTTGAGCAAGACCGTGAATTGATCGAAGTTAGACATTAACACAGTTAGATACCGGCTCAATGGTCCAGAGGTTAGGCGTTTGCGCGTAAGATCAAAGGTCGTGGGTTCGAATCCTGAGAGGTGGAGGAATCGTGGATGCCCACTGCTGATGAATCCCATACCAGGACGAAACGGCTGTCTTGCAGCGCTTCCAGGTTTCTAATGTCGGTATAACACTGATCGATTCATCATTTCAATGAGCCACAAACATTATTTACAGTGACTACTATGAAATACAGTTTTTTCTCATTTGGTCATTTAATTAAGATTTGAAGAAATCCACAATAAAAATGATAATGTGGACCTAGTTAAAAATAAGAACAAGATAAAACCATTAAGCTGATAATTTTTGATTGATTTGTATGAAGATGATGATTATTATTTTGTTTTCTGATTCATTCAAGTACACATTCACATATTATTCTCAACAATCGATATAGAAACTAGAGACTTGTCAAATCCAATTCACTTTACTCATTATTAGAGCTCGTATTCTTTTCGAATTTCAGATGTATATGTCCGACAGGTTTTCATGGACCAACGTGTAATAAACCAATAGAAACTTGCAAGCAAAATTTTTGTAAAAATGGCGGAACATGCGAAGTCCTGGATAATGATTATCGATGTCATTGTAGAGCTTTATTTCATGGTCAGTTTAAATTTTACTACCATTGCGATAATCATGATTCTTGATTGAAGATAAGTATTAAGCTGTCTTAAAATATTAGTGTGAAACAAATATTTTCAAACTGAACAATGTACCTTCAACGAAGTATATCTTACGCTGACAATAAACAAGAAAAAATCAGATAAGAATTTAAAGTATAATTATAGCATTCATACTATTTTCAATATATCATATTGAAACATTTTACCCAATAACTTACTTATCCCTGTTACCCCCAATGGAGCATAGTCCACCAACCAACATTCTCCAACCTACTCTATTCTCGGCTTCCCTTTCCAGTTCTGTCCAAATTTTGTTCCTTCTTCTCTTGTCTGTTGCCATTTCTCGACGTCATATGTTCCATGGCCTTCCTCTTTTCCCCTGACCTTGAGAGTTCCGTGTGAGAACTTGTCTTGTGAGGCAGTTCAGTGTTTTTAGCAATGTGTGTCCTATCCACTTCTACCACTTCTTCCTCACTTCCTCCACTGGAATCTGGTTTGTTCTCTCCCACAGTAGGTTCTCGCTGATCGCGTCTGATCATCGGATCCGGAGTATCTTGCGTTGACAATTCTTATTAAATACTTGTATATTCTGGATGATGGCTTCAGGATTTTTCCAAGTTTCTGTCACATACAATAAAACTGTCTTGACATTTGTATTGAAAATCCTGATTTTGGTGTTGATTGGTATTTGTTTGAAGTTGCAGATGTTGTTCAATTGTAGAAATGCAGCTTTGCCGATCTGCGTTCTCGCATCTGCTTCGGATCCACCTTGATTGTCGATGGTGCTGACCAGATACGTAAAGGTTTTAACGTCCTCCAAGACATCTCCATCAAGAGTGATTTGGTTAGCTCATGTTGTGATGTATCGGAGAATCTCGCTTTCCTCTTCATGTATGTTGACACCTGCTGCTGCTGAGGTTGCTACTACACTAACTATTACTTTGTATAAAATAACTAATAACTATATTCACTTGTCCTCAAAATTTATAGTTCATCTGTACAATATAAAGTCAGTCAGTTGCAACGTAGAACTTCGTACGTATGTACATAAGTTCATGTTGCCATACCACATTAGCACAGACATGTAAATGTCAAATCAAATCCCATAGTGATAGAGATAGTGTAGAGGTATTAATGGTCATGTATAAGAAGACTAGGGTTTGAAGATATTATTCAAGAAGTATAATTCAGTGTGATAAGGTTAGAAAGACAAAGGTACAGGTGTTGACGAATCCAGAACATGATAATGAAAAGTTGGTTAAAGAACTAGTTTAGTTGATATCACAACTAGTTGATGTGATCTACTAAGTTGAATTCGAAGTCGCTCACCTATACAAAACATATGATCACATTAAAGTTAAACCATTAGAATTAAAATCTGTAAAATGCGAATACACTATTTCATCATTTAAGATAACTAATGTTTATAATCGTTGAACAATAATTCACACCACATTAAAAAAACAGATTTATGAATGGCGAATAATCTTATCAATAAATTCTCTGCAGATTTTGCAATTCTATAAACAAAGTTATCTTCTTCAATAACTGACAAGGCTCACAACAAAATATATATCGTTTAAGATGAATATGAATTTACGATTGTAATTAGAAATCGCAGTAAATATTTGATCAAATATCACGTAACATTAAAAATATTATGAATTTATGAAGGTCATACTATTCATATTAATGATTATTAATATTATTTTACACACAATCTTATACTCATATAGTCTTAAATGATGTATTGGACTGAAATCTAGACACTTTTCTTCAGTCTATTAATTAGGAGACATAACATCCGTATCTGAAAAGAATTTACTGAAATCTAGAAAAGACTACAGAAATAAAAATCTCAAGTAGTATTGCGATTTTTAGGTCGAGTCAGTCAGTCAGTTACATAAGTGAATCAGTTCAAGTCGCCATACCACATAAGCACAGAAACACAATTGTCAGTCCAAATCCCATAGTGGTATAGACAGTAGAGGTATTACTGGCAATGGAGAAGATTAGCGTTCTAAGATATTATTCAAGAAGTACAAAATACAGTGAGATAAGTTTATAAGGAGAAAGGTAGAGCTGATGACGAATTCAGAAGATTAGAATTTGCGAGAACATAACGAGTAGATGCACCTGTGTCATTGAAAGCGATTCTGCGCCATGACGTTTAAGGTCTCTAAGCATCGGTTACTATCGTCTCACGGAACCCAACCAGGTAGTCTGTATCTACCAACATGACTCAGTCTCCAAGAACAACACTAACTACCTTCCTTTTGAGGTTCTTCAAGAAACACCCTTCCACGGTGTGGGCAGATGGGAAGTGACATCCGCCCTCATACCTATACAAGCACATGAGATTAAATCGGTCACAATTAAATCCTTCGTACACCCCGTGTGGCTGATTTGCCCTAACATTTGACCGGTAAATGACATTTCCACTCATGGTTTCGTTTAGTTGCATTCTTCGAATGTATCCGCTTAAAATTGATATGTCTGTATTAGGAAAAATCTGTGTTCTGATTAGATGACACAATAATAGAATTATGATTTATTTTGCCATTTGTTGTTTTTGTTAATTCAGGTAAAAATTGTCAACATGAATATATTTATTGTGAAGAATTGAATCCGTGTGCAAATGGTGGAAAATGTATTAGTTTGCCGAAGAATAATTACAGGTTAGTGCTTTTATCAGTATGAATATGTTGATAAATCTTTTTTGATGTTTCTATTTTTAGATGTGAATGTTTAGCCGGATGGATTGGAAATGATTGTCAAATCAATCAAGACGACTGTGTATATAATCGATGTGAAAATGGCGCTACTTGTGTCGATGGTATCAATGAGTATATATGTAAATGTCGTCCAGGATATGCAGGTTAGATTCATGAGAATTTTCGAAAACATTTTAATTTTATATAGAAAATATAATCTATCATATTATTGATTTTTATCTAGTGACAACAGTTAATAACGAGGTTACTATACAAAATTTAGGAACTATGCTTTCTTGAGACTGTATATTGTTAATTTTATATTGTTATAGGTAGTCAGCTTCTATAACTGATAAATTTGTGTTCAGAAAATATCCATTTCAAATGAGCAACTCATTGCTAATACCACCGACATTAACTGAGAATAAATCCAAATGCACCATAGACGTAGTCATCACACTACAAGTATCTTCATTTACCTACAAACTAACAGATTATTTGAGAGTAGTAAATATATTTCGATTAACATAGTTTTGCAGTTGCTCATTTGTCAATAATTTCTAATTTCGAGCCGGAATCGGTAGTTCAGTAACAATTTTATACGCATGTGTTATCTACATCTTTTTATGACACTTCAGTTGGACTTCATAGACTAACGTAAAGAACTTACTGGGAAAAGCCAAACGCCACAACTACATAAAATTCTACGATAAGGAGTAAAGGCAGTTATTTTCTGAAATAATAATTAACAGTAGTATAGTTGTATTATGTTCGTCACTAGGTACGCTTGAAGCTATTACGAGTTCACCTTAGTCGATAAACGCTAACGAGACAATTACCAGCGTCCAGGTAGGCTACCTTGAATCCCAAGCTATAAAAACAGAAATCTTGATAAGCTTAGAAAGTATATTCTACAACACCCAGCAATCACAGTACAATCCAGCACATCATAGAAACGTCCTTGGGACACTTACGAAAATAGCACACTAAAATACGCAGCAGCCTATCACAGCCATGGATTTTCTTGGTGGGAAATGAAGTCTTAAGGTCAACAGATCAGCCCATGCTGGCAAACGTGAAATCCAAAATAAGGCATTTATCAAGCGAGTTCTGGGGATCTAACATCTCCAAAAAGTTGTGAAAGAATTGGATTGAAATGTTGACTAAACCCATCAAGTTTCATGTTAAATCTTAGAATAACTAATGATCCATTGAACCGGTATTATAATATTTTTAATTGAAATTATTTAAAGGTATATATTGTGAAAGGCCAACTTGGAAACAATCAACTTATGTAACACGCATGGATAGACCATTTAATTATCAATTAATGATTGGACGTACATCTGTTCCTGGAGTAAGACAATCACCAATAAAAACTCGATCACTTACAACACAAAATCTGGATTCACTTTGTGCTTATCAACAATGTCAAAACAATGCTAAATGTGTTGAAAATCAAAATGATGCATATACTTGTGTTTGTCAAAAAGGTAGATGTCTTAATGTGAATGTTTTGTACGCTTACTAATGATATTTTCACTGCTTATCAAAGGTGTCAGAGTAGATTCCAGTTACAAATGTCTCAAAAATAAGTACATGGGTTTTCTGGCGCCAAAAACAAAACGTTTAAACAAACTAGTGCATAGTATTTATAAAATCATACCTACAAGAGTAGACATTCATTTTCTAATCTTCGTTACCGTAACTTGAATCTTGTGATTACTTTTAGTGATGAGCTAGTTAAGCTATAAAAAGTTCAACGTGATTGTTATTTGAAGTCCTCTGATGATGAGAATGTAAGCTAAATGTAACAAAGATAAAAATGGCCGCCACCGTAATGTACATAAGTTATATACTATACATGATCGCAGGGAAGTTACGCTATGATGCAACACCCTCAAACAAAAACGATCTGTATTTCTAGTTTAGATAAGAAAATTGGCGAAATGTTGTTGCCCTGGTGGTTTTGTACTAAGAATGAGGTTTGCAAAAACGAATTACCTATTGCTTGTTATAAAAAATTGTTTTAAACAATCTGAAACAACTGTCGCACAAGAAACTGTTTTTTTCTTATTAGTAATGTAAGTAGATGAAAATATTTCCTTACTAAACTACATATTTACACATTGTAATTTTCCAAATCAGGTTTTTCTGGTCAATTCTGTGAAAATTTATTTGCTATTAGTCTACCAAGCCCACATTCTTACGTGGCAGTTGTACCACCAAGTAGAGGTGCTCTAGTGCCAAGTGGAACGATAAGTTTTGAAATGGCCACCAAATCAACTAATGGGATTTTGTTGAATTTCATTGATACAAGTTTAATCAATAATTCAGATGGTATTCCTGAAAATTATTTGTTAGTCGATTTGCATAATGGACAAGTTCATGTTAAATTCTCATTAAGCCGAAATCATACTGTTCGTGATATGAATTGTGATATAAATGTAAGTGATTCAATACTATAAAGTATTCATTACTCTGGTATTATCTTATGTTTATGCTTTAAGTAACGTTTTTTAAAGATTATTACTTACTTGCCTCAAACAAAGTTGACAATACAATTTATTGCTCATTGAAATCATCAGTCAATCATTGTTAAACCACCATTAGAAGCCTGGAAGCACTGAAAGACAACCGTTTCGTCCTGGTATGGGACTCGTCAACAGTGCGCATCCATGACTCCTGCAGCTCATAGGATTCGAACCTAGGACTTCCAGTCTTGCGCGAACGCCTAACCTCTGGACCACTGGACAGGTATCCAACAGTGTTAATGTCTAACTCTGATCAATCTACAGATTTTGCGCGACCTCAACCATTTGTTTATGGTAATTACTGTCAACAGTGGTCCACAGATTAGTTGTTCGCTCGCAAGACTGAAGGTACTGGGTTCGAATCTGTGAGGTACAGGAGCCTTGAATGCGCACTAAAAATGAGTCTCATACCAGGACGAAACGGCCGTCTTTCAGAGCTCCCAGGTTCCTAATGGTGGTCTAACAATGATTGATCGATGATTTCAATGTGCGAAAAACACTAATCTCCATAACTCTAATTGAAAAATAAGATTTAGGTGCATTTTCTTTCTGAAGTTGTTGAATGATTCTAATAATACTGTCATTGTAAGCCTTGTATTTGTCTTATAGAGTGATTATTTAAAATGAAAGGTTTTTATAACTTCCAGTGAAAAACTGATCGATTTCTTAACTGTTACAGATGGAGTGACAGTTATTTCCATCATCACTGATGAATCAGTTTAGTTCATTTTCATGTAATTAATGTGAGTAATTATATTTCTTACCGATATGCTGTTCAGTTAATATGCTTGAAACTATTACGAGTTCACCTTAATCGGTAAACGGAGCGAAGACAAATGATGCAGCGACACGATAGGCTATTCTAATCTGTCGTCCCAGCCCCGGCTAACAAAAGCGAAAATTCTTGGTAAGGCATAGAGAGTGTATTCTACAAGCGCCCAGAAAATACGAGGTTGTTAAGCACACAAATGAGGTTTATTTATACAATGATAGTAACGTCCTTGGGAGATTCACAACGTAGCATACTAAAATAATCCATCAACCAATGACAGTAAAGGATTTTCCGAGTGGGAAATATGAGCTCAAGGTCAACTAAGTGACTTATGTGCGAAAACATAAAAAATCCAAAATTAGGACACTTTCCAAGTGAGTTTTGGGTACCTAACATCCCCAACACTTACATCACTATTATATATTATTATTTTGCAATATCGAATTCATCTTAGTACCAGTGTTTGTTAACTTAACTTTTTAATTTCCACAGTCATCGATTGTCAATGTACCTTAACGATTATTGATCGACAAAAAACTACTTGTTCTCTCAATATTCCAAATTATTTTGTCAATTCTGTTTATCTTATTTCTTTGTTATCATTTTGTAGATAAATGATGGTAATTTTCATCAAATTAAGTTATATCTAGAAGCTAAAATTCTATTTCTTTATATTGACAAAAATTTATGCATAACTATGGGAGAAACGAATACAAAGTTGAATGAATCAATCAGTAATCCGGTTCACAATAATCCAATTCCTGTATCCTCTCTATTCACATATAATGTGGCAATTAAATCAAAACATTTAGCATTAACAAGTCCATTGTATTTTGGTGGTGTACCAGCTGATCAGTTAGAATTATCACGTCATCTGACAAATGGGATCTCTGAACTTGGATTAACTGGTAAGTTTTTTAACATGTAAACAATCACCTGTTGTTATCACATTGCCATGATTTGCATCATAGATGTAAATTTTTGAAAAATTGAAAATTGAATCCTGAATCATTTTTCACGCATTGTGTAAAAGTGCATACTTTGTATTTTTCATACAAATTCTTTTTTTATATTTGATTTATCTACACAATGCCAAACATATTTGGAATAGTCTTTGAACGAATAGTTCAAATAGTTCTTTTTGCCCAATATGATACTTACTACTGAATAAGTATCTTTATTATGTATTAATTACCAGTTATATCCTAACACTTCAACAAAAATTTAGTTTAGAATTATGAGATTTTTGGCTGTGTTAGATTTGATGTCTCGCTCACTACTTTGGTGGCCCGTGACCCAATATTTATGAACATTTAGATATGCTATGAAATAATTCCCCTATACTTAGGCGAAACCCGTTTGTGCGACAGCGGTAATAAGAAGCTAAATACAGATTCGGTAGGATGAGTTTATTTCAGGCAGTCGTTTATGCAGACATAATAACGAAAAGCATACAAGCAGAGTGAAGCGAAGTGAATTGAAGTGGAGAAGGCGAGTGAGCCAGCTCAACTCGATTAAGCATGACTTAGGATTTATAGTCAGACGAAAATAAACCAGATATGTAATAAGCGAGATAGGCGTGCGCATATATGAGCGAATGACTAACAAGGCCAAAAGACAAATGGGACGAGCCCTGTGAGCTAGACAAGGAGACACTCACTATAAGATAATAAAGTTATGATCTAGTTATTTTACATAAAATTGGGAATCTTTTCAAATTACGGAGAAAATTCTTAAGTGATTTAGTTTCTTTCATTGCTATTCCACTGTGTCATCTGAACCAGATAGTCATCAATGTGGATTGGTTTATCATTTACGAAAGGCTACTATCTACTGAATAACATGATTTCTATAAATTTTGTTCTCGGTTCATATTCAACGCAACCTTCATTTGATTAAGCACAATGAAGAGGAAACAATTAACTTGTCCTGACTGTTCATAATTTATCTTATTCCACTTAAGTAAATCATTCTTCCATTGAATGACATTACCTCAGTCTTTATATTACTTGAATTGTTACAATATATTTCTGTTAAATATCCCACTGCATAATCAGTATAATGGTGATAGGAAATGAGAAATTCTTGCAACCGACTAACTAGCTCATTGCGATGGCGCAGGTGCATTCATTCTCTGTGTTCTGTCAAATACTAACCTTCTCAATTCCTCATAACCTTCATCACTTTATTTTTAAGTTTATTTCACTAGATTCTACTTCTTAAATAGTATCCTCGAACCCTAATCTCCCCGATTACTGCGAATACTTCTAATACCTCTACTATGGGATTTTTAGTGATAATTATGTCTCTGTTTGATGCGGTGTGACAACCTGAACTGATGTGCGTACGTACGTATGTACGAAGTTCTACGTTGTAAAAATGACTAACTAGCTCATTGATTCATTCTAACTACAACTTACAATAATTGTATTTACAGTAAAATTCATCTTTTTGTTACTCTACTAGTGTTTATTATTTTGGTTTAACTATTAATTTAACAGAAAAAAAACTATACTTGATTGACAATTGAATTTATTAATTAAACCTTGTGAAATGATTGGATATTGTTTCCATTTGCATAGATTACATAACTAGATTTATAAACCTCTATTCGTCATACATTTCAGTGTGATTAAATAGTTCAAGGTTGACAAACTAATAATTTAAACAACATGTAATTTTAACAGACTAAACAGAAAACTTTATGTGAGTAAAATGCTTTCATCTAATTGTAAAGTTAGAACTTTTACAAAGATATTATAAAAAATTCAAAACTGAATAAATAAATATCCGAGATATTGATTGGGTATTCAAATAACTTTATCGATTTGTGAAGAGTTTGCAATTTGCACAAGATTCAAAGTAATTACAACTGATTTCAATCACCAATCAAGATACAATATGTGTTTTGACACTAAAATAGGGGTTGATTAGAAGCTTTCAACTCGTACTTTAAGTTTCTGTTCCATTCAACGCCTTCATCATCCATAAGCAATCACACTTGGCATCAGCAACAAATCTTACTTCGATTGTGTCTGACGTTATGCAAGTGTATTTCATGGCAATCTGTATAGCTGATATCAGAAACTAACTCCACAAAAGAAGAACGAAGGAATTCCGTAAATTCTGGGGGAAAATTGTAATCTGTGTGATCAAGTAAACCAGAAGTGGACAACTTAATTTATTGATAATATTTAATGGGATTCAGCATTCATCATGAATTAATTGGATTGAAAGTTATGAACCGCGCTGGCTGGAAGACCTAAATACCCCAAGTTCGATTATGTGCAGTGTTGTGAATGTGCACTGTCATAGAGTTTCAAACTCAGACGACACAGCTGTTCAATGTTTTTTGACGTTCAGTAGTCTGCTGACTCATATCATAAATAGATTTGTCTACAGATTTCTATCAGTAAGGAATATACTCCTCTTTTGATACATTTTATCTAATAATATTCTGTTTTTAATTTGAATGCAGTTTCAAACAGTGTCACTAGTGAAAAATTCTAACTCTTGTTTTTCTTAAAATGGCAAGGTTGTATAAGAAATCTACAAATAAATGGCCGAACGATTGATTTTGCTCGTCTTTTTGGAGCACCAGTAGACAAAATGACTGGGACAGAAGAACATGACACTGAAATCTCTTCACCAGAAGCTAAACATCATGGCACTGCAATCGGAATATTGCCAGGTTGCCAATTAATGAATGAAAAATCAAATGATATGGAGTCTGCAGTAGAATTTCAAATAAACAATAATGAGAGTGCGAAACTGCAATCGATTAACCCTAATAAAGATCAAGAATTACCGATCGGGAAAAGTGAACCAATGAAACTAGGCATGTTACATAATATAAAAGCTAATGAAAAGTCAATCTCATGTGATTCACATGGAAATAATCCATGCCTTAATGGTGGAATATGTGAAAACTATGAAATGAATCAAACTGTAAAGTATCAATGTAAATGTCCAATTGGTTATAAAGGAGAAAGATGTGAAATAAGTATGTGAATGTTTATTTATTCTCTCATCTTGATTGAAAGATCTATTTTTTTAAAGCTTGTTTAAATTCATTTTACATTTGATGCTTTTGTATATAAACTGGTGATATTAGTTGTCCTTAAACCTAAACTAAACCTGGATAGTTGATTAGTTCTGTTGAATTTCTCACCTATCTTATCAGATGGATCAAATTTGACAGCTAAGAATTGAATACAAATAATTTTAATCATTGAATACTGCATTACGGATGCGATAAAAATATGTTCTTCATAACGGGTTAACATAGTGTTACGCATGCACGTAAACACGTCATTTTGATATGCTTGAACTATTACGAGTTTACCTTAGTCAGATAACGAGAGCGAGGATCAAGGATCCGGCGACACAACATGCTACTCTAATTCGAGTTTCCCAACTCCCATTGAGTAAAAGAAGAAGACTCGATGTGAAGTAGAACATTTATTCTACAAGCATCCAGAAAGTACGAGGCCCGATTCCAGAAGAGAATCAAGATCCCGGACTAGGGATCCGGGTCCGAGTCCGGGTCATAAAATGTTACAGATTATGCGTAGTTATACAGTTAGGTCGAATAGGAAACAACATCGAAGTTTGTGACATTGACAGTTAGGGCGACCAATATGAAACAACATTCAAAGTACTTGACATTGCTATCTAGGTCGGCCATAATATTGACCAGTGGGAACTGACCAATAGAATTAGACTTACAAAAATAATTCTTTTAGGATATTTGATGAATATCCTAACACATAACTAAATCTTAGGCCTACAATCTTGTCAACAATATAATTATCTCTACTACAGTTTATTGACACTTATTTGTGTGAACAGCGAAATACATCAAGTTTTTGTAAAAAACTTTAGGTAGAAAAGTTTAAAATCACTTGTAAAATTGATTCATACGTAGATATTGTTCTCATGTCCAGATACTGTTTATGCGAACATGTAATGTCGCTTATAATTTCACACATGGTTGACATAATTATCGATAAGGAATTATAATTAGATGCGAAAAGTTTAATGAAAACAACTATATATATATATATATATATATATATATATTGATGGTATATAGTTTTTGTACATGATCTGTAGCAGATTGAAATTGTAACAAACAGAACTAGCTCTCACTTAGCCCTTATTAATACAAATCTCGTTGATGTCAACAGAACTCGACGATAATATAAACTGCATTACTGCATTGTGAAGAGTTATTAATTGATCAATGTTAGACCACCACTAGAAACCTGGGAGCACTGTACGGCCGTTTCGTCCTGGTATGGTACTCATCAGCAGTGCGCATCCACGACTCCTGCACCCCGCAGGATCCGAACCCAGGACCTTCGGTATTGTGAGCGAACGCCTAACCATCGAACCAACGGTGTTAATGTCTAAATTCGATGAATTCACGGAGTTGCACAACCCCATACACTGTCTTCGGTAGTTACTGTCTACACCCGGACAGTCTGAACTTCACTAGTCACGGCTTCCCACTAGAACTCAGAGAAGATTTCTCACGGAGCTAGTCACTAGTGAGCACAGGTAGAATTGCATTACGGGGTTGTGAAGATTGTCAAGTTACACGTTTGAAACCATGAATCGACTATACTTCCTGACAGTTCCGTTCAATGAATTGTTTTTTCTCATGTGCAAATTCTCATTTCTACATTCTGTGTTTTAGTTTAACTTCTTTAAGGAATCATAGATAGTTAAGAAAATTATCTTTCAATTGTACAAAATTTTTAGAATATACATCTTTACACTGTCATGGATCATTTGTAGCACCTCACATATATCTTGTACTTTTATAATTGTTGAGCTTGTATGCGCATGTACGCTTGGGCATTACTTGCCATTTACACATATAAGTTATTTGACTAGCTGTATCGATTAACAGTTTGAATAATTCGATGTCAATATTGACTATACATATTTGAATTAAATCCGATATTTGTATTGATCATCAAATAATTTGAATAATAGAGAGGTTGTGGCAACGACTCGTGTTCTATAGTAGCGATCATCAAGACGGAGATCTACGGGAAGTCGAAGATAACGAAAGTCTAACGCCACACACTGAAGGAATGAAGTATTTTGTTTTCTCTGTAAGAAACATTAAAATAGCCTTAAACTATTTCATCATATGATCAAAATCATCTTCCTTATTGAATAAACAAACAAATCAGTCAAATAATGTTTTTTTTTGTACAAACATTGTACTTTTTTCTAAACTAGTTCATATTTCCATTATTCTAATGATCTATGAATGGATTTATAGGCATTGGATTATCACAAAAATAAGAATAAATTATCTTAAACTGTATGATAATGCCAGTCAATCAATAAAGATAAAAGATTAGAGTATTCAAAAAGTGATGTGTGAACGTGAGAGTAAACTGTGATTGGTCATCATCAAATGTAGACAAGCAAGCAATATAGCCTTGTGACTAGAAAATAAGTGACTTATTGAAAGTGATTGCTTGTAGTTGTATGGAATAAATTGTTGTCTAATGTTAACTTTGGTTCACCATTTTTGGTCGTGAATGTTTTATGTAAGTTTGACATGATTTCATCCCTGTGATGTGTGTATCCAGTCCATTGGTAGTATAAACTCAGTTATCGGTTCAGTCTCTTTTTAACAGGAATATCGCAAAGAATAATACCTGAAAACCATCCTTATGACTCAAGAAATGACCCGGAACAATATAGTATATGACATCTACTGACTAAAATATTGGCAAATTGTCTTCAGATGTTTTTTGATGGAATATATATCACTAGCATTTGATGAATCCAAAATAACTCATTACGTTTTTGTGCAATTTATATTTATTTATGAAACAAAACAGAACTTAAACTGTTCTTGAATCAGAAATGTTAGCGTAAAATTATTTCTTAAATCATTCATAAAAAACGTAGAATGAAATGCTTTATTCACTGAAGTATACTAGTTCGTAGTGGAATTGAAAACTATGACAACAGGTAAAGTTTAACATTTGTTAGTCAGAAGATATGAGTAGGATGAATATCATTGAGTGATTCATATGCGACTATTTGTGACAATACTGATTTTTCAACTAGTATTCACAGTCTGTCAGTCAATCAGTTACAACGTAGAACTTCGTACGTAAGTACATCAGTTCATGCTACCAAACCACATTAACACAGAGACACAATTGTCAATTCAAATCCTATAGTGGTAGAGATAGTAGGAGAATTACTAATAATGGAGAAGATTAGGATTTGAAGATAATATTCAAGAAGTATAATTCAGTGAGATAACTTGAGAAAAACAAAGGTAGAGGTGTTGACGAATCCAGAAGATGAGGATTTGAGAGAACACGAAGAGTGCATGCACCTGCGCCATTGCAAATGGTTTTGAGCGATGTCATTCAAGGTCTCTAACCATTGGTGACTTTCGTCTCGTGGACCCCAACCAGGTAGCCTACATCTACCAACATTCACAGTCAGTAGATAATTGACACAAGCTTCTCAACTACTACTGACACAACAACTACTTTGCTTCATGAATTCACTACCTTTTAAACATGACAGATAATAGATCATAGCTTAAGGATTCATTGATTAAGTGTTCTTGATAATGAACTTAATCGTTTTTATTTCATAGAAAACAGTGAAGTGATCAGCTTAATAGGATCTACTTATTGATGGAAAAATGACTTATAGCTTGGCTAGTCATTGTACCAGAAAGTCTCTAATGCGAACCTAACTCCACTCATTTCGGTTCGCGCAACTGGATAGTACCATGAGCCCTCATACTTAGATTAAAGCTTAAAGCTAGGTAATATAAACCTGTACCTTGTAAAAAAGTTAATAAACAACTTTATAGAATTTCACTAGTCATTAAATCATTGCACTCGAACTTACACATGTAAATGCCAAGTTCGTTGTTTAAAAAAACAAAAACAAAAACCATGACAAATATAATTTTCTTTGATAATAATTATTTTTTTTCTTTAGTACCTATTTGTCATCGTCAAACTCAACGTTCATATATACGTGATCCACAAACGAATTGTATTTCATCAAGAAAATTATCAATTCGTAAATGTTCCGGTTCATGTGATTCAACTATCATCACACACCAACCTCAACACCAATCGCAACACCACCAACAACAACCATCAGTTAGCAATGAGAAAGATGATTCCACTGGTGATGATGATAATGATGATCAGTCATTAAAATATCATAAATGGAGAACACTTCATAAACGATCAACTAATTCTGTACGTGTTTGGTTATCAAATCATATCAAACATAAACAATCGTCACCTATGATAACAATGAAAGAGTCAACAAACTCTCCACACCTAGTACAACTTAATTCTTATTCTACATCTTCTACTTTACCAATCATTACAAAACAACATTGTTGTCAAGCTACAAAGACTAAATTACGTCCAATCTTATTCAATTGTCCTAATGGTGCTGTTTATGAACGAATTATAAAATTAGCAAAAAAATGTACTTGTGTTCAATGTGTGGTTAAATAGTCAATAATTATTATATATAATGTTCAAATTAATCGGAAACACATGACTAACATCTAAATATATATATATATATAAATATATCTATTTCAAAACTAAGGAAATCAATGCATTTGGTATTATTATTTTTATTTCCCTATGTAATAAACTACCTCTATATATATATATATATATAT